CGCTGCTCCAGCCACCTCCACCATTATGATGCTTCCTCCTGAACCTAGAATGCCCACACCGGAGAGATTTTTTGAAGATCGGACTAAGTTTTGTGCATTCCGCAATGCATGTCAGCTATTTTGTGCGTTGCAACCCCTCACCTTCTTATTAGAGGCTGCCAAAGTGGGATTCGTCATCTCTTTGCTACTAGGAGAACCCCAGACCTGGGCTCATCACCTCCTGGAAAAAGAAGATGTGAGATTGTCTACTCTTAAAAGTTTTATTTATACCATGGCTATACACAACTATATGATGACCCTCAACGTTCACCCTTGGCAGAGGTGGCCCTTCACACGCTTCAGAAAGGTCGCAGGGCTGTTGAGGTTTATGTGACCAAATTTAGATGCACCTGCGGCCACGCCAGAACCAGAGGAACCTGAACCCATGTAATTGGACCTGCTGCGCCCATCCTTGTCACCGCGACGGCGAATAAATAACTTGTGCCTTCACTGTGGAACAGCAGGTGTCAGGAATCTTGGCAGCATACGGGTATGCGCATGTGCAGAACGCCGATGCGCGTTAGCCGGCGAGCACTGGGGCTTGGGCGATCGCGGCAGCGGCCGCGCATGCGCACTCGCGATCGATCGGGATCGCGCGCGCGCCTGGCACCAATGAGAGCACAGGGCGCACTATTTAAACCAGCCCTGTGCTCCTCCAAACTGCTGTATGGTCTTGTTTCCTGTGTTCCTGATTGCTCCTGTATCCTTGATTGATTTGTTGCCGACCCAGCCTGTTCCTGATCCTGTTGTCCTCTCCTGCTCTGACCTCTTGCTCGTCCTGACTATTCTCTGCCTGATCCTGGTTGCCTGACCTCCTGTTGCTGAACCTGGCCCGTGACCTGTTTATTCTTTTGCCTACCGCTCTGTACTATTTGCTCCGCTGTTACCAACCCGGCCTGTCTGACTACGTTATACCTCTTCACGTCTGGCTCTCACCTGTTATCCGCCATTGGTGGCTGCCTCTACCACAGCTGGTTGTACTTGGGGGTCGCGACCTGGTCTCAGGCTGTTTCAAGTCCATCCCCACCATCAGAGGCTCTGGTGATTTAGCAGACTGAGGCTTAGATTCCGCGTCCTGAGGAATTCCAGTCTGTGGGTCGCTAGAGGCTACTGCCAGTCGGCTCTTGACAGCAGGTCTCTATGTGTGCCCGGCCAAACTATGTAAGTGCCTATCCATCTCTTCCACCAGTAGTTAATCTGCACTACCTGCTTCAGTGCAAGTAACTGTGTCCATCTTTTTTTAGCCTCCGGGAAAGGTCCTTCCGAGGTCCGCCATTATTGACTCTGGGGCCTGCATTTGTTTCATAGACCAATCCTTCGCAACTCAACATAGGTTCCCCTTACAAACTAAAGCCCAAGGACTCTCTGTATATCTGGCGGATGGAACCCAGCATTAAATCTGGGCAGACTGCCTGAGCATCGGCTGCCTGACTACCCTGTACCTATGCCAGTGTGCCATCCTCCAGCTGCTCCTGCAATTTTTTTTATCTCTTGCAAGGGAGGCCCCCTTCCTACATCTCCCCTCAGGTTTCCACCATCAGGTACGTGACACAATCATTAAAACCATTACAAATACAAATCTTCAAACAAGACAAGTTTTACCTACAGTATTTCCCTCCCACCCCCACCCCCCAATTTTCCAACATTTAATTTTACAATTTTTTTTTTTTCTTCTTGCTCCTCTGTTGTTCCTAATGTTTATCTGCACCTCAGTCCTCTCTGCCTTCCTATCTGTTCCCCTCCTTCAGAACCTTCTTTCCTTTCATTTATCTGTCCCTATACTTTAAAACTCCGACCAATTCTAAAATTTCTTTTGATTGTTTTAAACTCACACACCATCTTTCATATGTTTTTTTTTTTATTTTTTTCGATGTTGTCCTCTCCAATATGGTATAGTTCCTCCATCCTGTATGTATATTCCACCCAATCTCTACATATCCATTTTTTTATTTTTGGGGTCTATCTAACTGAATCACTTTTGATTGCTAGGAGTTATTCACATCCTTGCATGTATTTCTACACGAAACGTAGCATATTCCACTCAAAATCCTATTGGCAAAAAAAGGGCAAGAAAGCAAATTCTTTAATGCCACATATATCAAATGGAATAATCGCTGCATATTTTTATATTTTTTCACTGTAAACTCGGTATTCTGGAATAAACAAACCCAAGGGTCTCTCAATATACTAAACCACCAATATCTCCTGTATTTGTTGAATTATCAAAATAATCAACAATCCAATACTCCTGTATTTAGAGACAATCCCACCATATGTGTGGCCATTGTTCCCTTAATCCTGCACAACCTACAACATAAAGGTGAACTCTCAACAAATTCAAGCTTATGTGCTCTACTAGGTGTAATATACCATCTTGCTAGACATTTATAATTCATTTCTACAATATTCATATTCACAGCAAAACATTTGTTAATGTAAATATTTTTCGGTTTTTTTGCTGTCCAATCAATTTTGTTCTAAGCTCCTTTTCCCACTTTTTCCAAGATCCAATGGTGGAGGGATTGGTCCAGTATTGTAATAAGACTCTTATAAAAAAAATGCAGACCAATCAATTTTGTTCTGAGCTCTTTTCCCACTTTTTCCAAGAATGGTGGACAATATGTTTTAAAAAGGATTTTTGAGGTGACATTGTATCTGAACTAAACATCTGCTCAGTCCTCCCCCATCCTTAATGTCTTCTTCGAGAGCGCTGCAACAAAAATGTCTTATTTGATAATACCGCCATTCATCTAATATAAAAAAAAATCTTTTTTGTTTTTTAAATCTTGAAAAGAGGATAATTCCCCATTTTCCGTGATATCTTTAACCGTGCATTTCTATCTTTTATCCATTTTTCCTGAAATATTATCTTTAGTCCAGTAGAAAGAAATCAGTTCCCACCAACGGTATTTAGTGAGTTATACTCCCACCCAATTTGCTAAAGAATTACATCCTACTTGTATTTTCAGCAACGTGCAAAACTATTAAACATGGGAGCCAAAATAATGATATCTAACTATATCCAATCTGATATTCGGGATATTAACAGAGAGTAATATTATCTCTTAAAATCTGGCACATTTAAACCCCCTTTTGCTTTATCTTTACACAACACCTCATATTTCACTCTCGTTTTTTTATTTACCCATATATACCTGAGTATCATTCTTTTTAAGATCTCAAAAAATGTCCTCAGTAGATGTATAGGAAGCATATGAAATTTATACAGAATTTTTGGTACTATCACCAACTTTACCATGTTTATTCGTCCAATCCAGGAAAGCGATCCTACTGAAATTTTTCTCAGTTTGTCCTTTATCTCATTTATTAGTGGAATGTAGTTTGCCTGATATAAGTTCTTTAAAGATGTGATTCATTTTATTCCTAAATAATTTAGTTTATTTTCCCTCCATGTGAAAGGAAATTCTTTCTGTAAGGCCTTTTTCTTTATCCTTGGAACATTGATATTTAATATCTCTGACTTTGAGGGATTAATTATTAAATTTGATAGTTCTTCATGATATTTTAATGTTAATTTAGGATTTACAATATATAATAACATATCATCTGCTTAAGCAACAAGCTTGTGTTACACATCTCCTATCAAAATTCCTTTTATGTCTACGCTATTTCATACTGTTGCTAATAACGTGTCCAGATATGAAACAAATAGCATTTTGAAGAACTGTGACAGTGAGCCATTAACCTTCACCGCTACTGATGGATGGCTATATAACTCTTTTATCCACTGTCCCATTTTGGTTCCAGTTCCCAATGCCTCCAGTGTATCAATCATAAATCCCCAGTCTACCCTGTCGAATGTTTTTTCAGCATCTATCGACAAGACCAAGACAGGCGACTTCTCTCTCTTACTCTTTTGCAGTAGGAGAAAAGATCTTAATCCATTGTCCCTTCCTTCTCTGCCTGGAATGAATCCCACTTGATGTAAGTTTATCCATTCCGGCATTATCTCTTTCAACCTAGTTGCTAGGACCTTTGCATATAATTTTGTATCTACATTCAGTAGTTTATATAGTTCTACCTACACATTTTGGGGACCAGTTCTTTAAATTTCTTATAGTATCTCACTGTATACCCATCTGGTCCAGGGCTCCTTCCTGCTTCTGTGTTCTTCAATGCAATTTGAATTTCTTCCTGTGATATAGGTTTTTCTAAGGCTACTAATCTTTCTTCTTCTAATCTTGGCAATCTGGCCTCCTTTAAATGTAGTTTTTTTTCTTTTTCTCCCTCCATTTCTTTTAAGTTCTTAGGTTTTACCTCATATAATTTACTGTAGTAGTTTTGAAATGTATTAGTGATATCAGTGGTTGAATAAACCATTTCTCCTGTCTCATCTTTAATTTTCTCTATATAATTCCTCGATTTCTTTTCTCTTAACCTTCTCAATAGATATTTTCCTGGTCTATTCCCCCACTGATATCTCTACTTTGCTACCCTAGTAAAGGTTCTCCTCGTTTCCTGTTCCATTGGGTCCTTCTAACTTCTCTTTTTAGAGTTATCTTCTGTTGTATATCTATTTCTATTTTCTTTTTATGTATTTGTTCTAAATCATATACCGTATTTTTCGCTCCATAAGACGCACCTGACCATAAGACGAACCTAGGTTTTAGAGGCGGAAAAATAGAAAAAAAAATTCTGAACCAATGGACTGCAGACATAGTACAGGAAATTACCAGAGACTGCAGACATAGTACAGGAGATGACCAGAGATTGAGGACATAGTACAGGAGATGACCAGAGACTGCAGACAGTACAGGAGATGACCAGAGACTGCGGACATACTACAGGAGATGACCAGAGACTGCAGACATAGTACAGGAGATGACCAGAGACTGCGGATATAGTACAGGAGATGACCAGAGACTGTGGGCACAGTACAGGAGATGACCAGAGACTGCGAACATAGTACAGGAGATAACCAGAGACTGCGGACACAGTACAGGATGATGACCAGAGACTGTGGACACAGTACAGGAGAGGACCAGAGACTGCGGACACAGTACAGGAGATGACCAGAGACTGCGGACACAGTACAGGGGATGACCAGAGACAGTACAGGAGATGACCAGAGACTGCGGACAGTACAGGAGATGACCAGAGACTGTGGGCACAGTACAGGAGATGACCAGAGACTGCGAACATAGTACAGGAGATAACCAGAGACTGCGGACACAGTACAGGAGATGACCAGAGACTGTGGACACAGTACAGGAGAGGACCAGAGACTGCGGACACAGTACAGGAGATGACCAGAGACTGCGGACACAGTACAGGGGATGACCAGAGACTGCGGACAGTACAGGAGATGACCAGAGACTGTGGACACAGTACAGGAGATGACCAGAGACTTTGGACACAGTACAGGGGATGACCAGAGACTGCGGACAGTACAGGAGATGACCAGAGACTGCGGACATAGTACAGGGGATGACCAGAGACTGCGGACACAGTACAGGGGATGACCAGAGACTGCGGACATAATACAGGGAATGACCAGAGACTGCGGACATACTACATCATATAAAGTCCCAAAAGGGCCCCTCCACCCAGAATATCAAATGATCTGACACCATACATCAAGGAAAATGACTACAACTCCCAGCATCTGTCATTTTTAACTTACAGAAGGCAGATTATAGAAGGCAGGGGGCGCACTGAGCTACGAGGACAGGCCACACCAGCAGATAGGACCGGACTGCAGAGCAGGGAGCGCACTATGGACACATGCCAGGAGCGGGGAGGAGCTGTAAGGACAGGCCACACCTGCAGACCAGACCAGACTGCAGAGCAGGGAATGCACTATGGACTAATGCCAGGAAAGGGGAGGAGCTGTAAGGAGAGGCCACTCCTGCAGACTGGACCGGACTGCAGAGCAGGGAGCCCAGTACATAGACATGCCAGGAGGGGGAGGAATTCCGAGGACAGGCCACACCTGCAGGGCGGACCGGACTGCAGAGCAAGTTGGCTGGGTTCGGCGAGGGGACTGCCTGCTATGAAGAACTGCGGGGACAGCCTGCTGAGAGAGGGGATAAGGTAGGTTGAACTTCGGTGACAGCCTGCAGTGGGATGGGACAGCCGCTGGCCCTAATACGGCGGCGGGTGACAGGTGGAGGACTGGTCAGTATTCGCTCCATAAGATGCACAGACATTTTCCCCAATATTTTTGGGGAAAAAAGTGTGTCTTATGGAGCGAAAAGTACGGTAACTTCCTCAGTTAATAGATTTATTTTCTTTCCACGTTCTTTCTTTTTTTTCTGCCTCTATAGAAATCGATATTTCCTTAATGTATGCCTTATGCACTTCCCAAACTGTAGCAACTGATACCCCTTCAGTCCCGTTAGACAAAAAATAATTCTCTATTTCCCTCCTTAATATTACTTCCCTATCTGGTTCCTGTAGGAGCTTTTCATTTAATTTCCACATATTTATTTTATTTCTCTCCCCTCCTAATTGTAATCTCATTGTGACAGGTGCATGGTCTGATATTGACATTACCTCAATTTTAGATTTCACCAAAGCCTCCAAGAGTCTATGTTACAGTCAGGTCCATAAATATTGGGACATCGACACAATTCTAACATTTTTGGCTCTATACACTACCAAAATGGATTTGAAATGAAACGAGCAAGATGTGCTTTAACTGCAGACTGTCAGCTTTAATATGAGGGTATTTACATCCAAATCAGGTGAACGGTGTAGGAATTACAACAGTTTTCATATGTGCTTCCCAGGGACCAAAAGTAATGGGACAGAATAATAATCATAAATCAAACTTTCACTTTTTAATACTTGGTTGCAAATCCTTTGCAGTCAATTACAGCCTGAAGTCTGGAACGCATAGACATCACCAGACACTGGGTTTCATCCCTGGTGATGCTCTGCCAGGCCTCTACTGCAACTGTCTTCAGTTCCTGCTTGTTCTTGGGGCATTTTCCTTTCAGTTTTGTCTTCAGCAAGTGAAATGCATGCTCAATGGGATTCAGGTCAGGTGATTGACTTGGCCATTGCATAACATTCCACTTCTTTCCCTTAAAAAACTCTTTGGTTGCTTTTGCAGTATGCTTTGGTTCATTGTCCATCTGCACTGTGAAGCGGCGTCCAATGAGTTCTGAAGCATTTGGCTGAATATGAGCAGATAATATTGCCCGACACACTTCAGAATTCATCCTGCTGCTTTTGTCAGCAGTCACATCATCAATAAATACAAGAGAACCAGTTCCATTGGCAGCCATACATGCCCACGCCATGACACTACCACCACCATGCTTCACTGATGAGGTGGTATGCTTAGGATCATGAGCAGTTCCTTTCTTTCTCCATACTGTTCTCTTCCCATCACTCTGGTACAAGTTGATCTTGGTCTCATCTGTCCATAGGATGTTGTTCCAGAACTGTGAAGGCTTTTTTAGATGTCGTTTGGCAAACTCTAATCTGGCCTTTCTGTTTTTGAGGCTCACCAATGGTTTACATCTTGTGGTGAACCCTCTGTATTCACTCTGGTGAAGTCTTCTCTTGATTGTTGACTTTGACACACATACACTTACCTCCTGGAGAGTGTTCTTGATCTGGCCAACTGTTGTGAAGGGTGTTTTCTTCACCAGGGAAAGAATTCTTTGGTCATCCACCACAGTTGTTTTCCGTGGTCTTCCGGGTCTTTTGGTGTTGCTGAACTCACCGGTGCATTCCTTCTTTTTAAGAATGTTCAAAATTCTTTTGGCCACGCCTAATGTTTTTGCTATCTCTCTGATGGGTTTGTTTTGTTTTTTCAGCCTAATGATGGCTTGCTTCTCTGATAGTGACAGCTCGTTGGATCTCATCTTGAGAGCTGACAGCAACAGATTCCAAATGCAAATAGCACACTTGAAATGAACTCTGCACTTTTATCTGGTCATTGTAATTGGGATAATGAGGGAATAACACACACCTGGCCATGGAACAGCTGAGAAGCCAATTGTCCCATTACTTTTGGTCCCTTAACACGTGGGAGGCACATATGCAAACTGTTATAATTCCTACACCGTTCACCTGATTTGTATGTAAATACCCTTAAATTAAAGCTGACAGTCTGCAGTTAAAGCACATCTTGTTCGTTTCATTTCAAATCCATTGTGGTGGTGTATAGAGCCAAAAATGTTAGAATTGTGTCGATGTCCCAATATTTATGGACCTGACTGTATATCGTTATATAATCCAATCTTGAGTACATCCCAATGCGCAGCAGAGAAGAAAGTATAATATCTTTCTCTTTGGTGATTAATTCTCCAAGAATTTATCAATTGACATTGATGTAACATCCTTTTAATGGACTTTAGATTTTTATCTCCATCTCTCTGTGCACGTGACGATGTATCCATCCATGGATCCATGCAAAAGTTAAAATCTCCTGCCACAATCAATTTACCCCTCTTAAAGTCCATAAGTTTTCTTAGCATATCCTTGAAGTATACCACTGGATTTCTATTAGGGTAATACATATTTGCTAATGTGCATTCTATTCCCTGCAATTTCCCTCTCAAGAACAAGAACCGACCTTCTGGGTCCACCAATCTATCCTCCAAGAGGAATCTTAAATTTTTTGCTAACCCAATTGCTACTCCTTTTGCCCATTTTATTAGTGAGTCAGCGTAATACCAGGTTGGGTAGTATTTGAAATATAACTTAACATTTGTATCTTGAGATATATTTATGTAAAAACACTACTTCTATAGAACGTTGATGTATTTTCCCAAGAATCTTGTGCCTTTTCACTGGATTATTCAATCCTTTTACATCATAGGTCATAAAGTTAACCACAGTCATTCCTACTACTATTCCAACTTAATTGAGTGCATGGATATATAATTTGGAGCAAGAAAATATCTTCAAAATATTCTTTATTACCCATCCCCCCCCCCCCCTCGAATTTAAAACCATTTGGCCTATTGCTAGCCCTGGAATCCGTTGTGGTTCTGGTCCCACTATCGACTCCTTTTCCAGGGTGAGACTTATACGCTTATCTGGACCCTATCTCCAATCCTTGGGTCACGAAATCAATAACATGTTGAACCTCCTGATACCGTTATTTTAGAGAAACTCTGCTTATCTTCCATGAAATTCCTCCCTTAGACCTCCACCCTACACCCCCTGCTGTTCTACCATTATACCTTTCAGATGTCACCTGCTTCCTCTCTTCTTTCCCCTAGTCCTCTCCCACTCACTGCAACCACATGAGCAGGAGGAGAAACCCTATAGAACACTAAAGAGAGGAGAGGCAATAGGCTGTCGGAGAGAGATAGAAAGGAAAAAGAAGAGAGGAGAAGGAAACAAAAATTTAGTTTCCCTCTCTTCCCTCCCCTCACCCCAACCCCCCCACCACCACCACCACCACCACCACCACCACCACCATCATCCCTCGCCTACATTATTCTCCCCTCTCTTCCCCCTCCCGACTACTACTCGTCTTATTTCTATTTCACTCTCTTTTTGGAAACTAATTGCCACTTCTCTTTTCCTAACTCTATACTCTCCTTAGCCCCTTCAGACCACCCCAATATATCAAATATCTTTAAATCTATACAAAAGAAAGAAATGCCATAATTAGGGGTGTAACCACCCATCAAAGGGATCGCTCTGACTCACCCTATTTTGGGGTGTGGATTATTAACCAAATAGAGCATATTAGAAAATGGTTAGCAGTTGACTAGAGCAGACTGCAAAAAAAAGCGCGTATTTTTAAATGAAATCCAGAGTAAATAATTACTTTATTTTGATCATAAAGTTCTTTTGAAAGGATGGGTATTAGACATGGTGAACACACAATCAAAAAAATAAAAATAAAAACAGTGAATATAAAAACAAAAAAACATCCTGTGCATTCACTTAGCTGCATCATGTTGATTCAATGAATGACTGGGAAACCCTTATTTTTGATAAGAAGTATTCTTCATATATGTATTATAATAGTGATGTATGAAGAGTCCACTTTCATAGTATTCTGAGTGATTCTATCTTCACAATTTCGATTCTTTGCTGTTTTCCAATATTGACATAACTTTAGATGGATACTTTTTTGCACTTCCCTCATGTAATCATCAATGTTGAATATTGGGGTAGCAAGTGGAAAAAATCCTAAAGAATCAACGTGAGCAATGAATAATAAATCTAAGAAGAGTCACCATATACATATATATATATATACTGTATATACAGTATATATCATCAAAATGAGTCCAATGCAATGATGATTATTTTAAAGAGGAAAATGTATTGTAGTCTGTAATTACCATCATTGTATCTCGTCATCATCATATAGGGTTGGCTGACAGGAAAAATTGAACAGTATATAGCCGACCTCGATCGGCCGGTATTACTTTAACAGGATGATCTCTATAGATGGCACTATTTTGTTAAATCTAAAATAAATAACATGTATATTTGTGAAATGAAAAGAATCATTAATGAATAATGAATATATCAAATAAAGTGATTACCCCAATAGAGGTCATTGTTGTTTTCATATAGAAACATTTGGATCTTAAGATCCATAATCAAAAAAATGAAGGAGGTTTTCCTCTTGTGCATAAAAGATATGTTAAAGCTGTATGGAGTATGTGGATACCTCGGAATCTCAATCCTGTGATGGCATGGATTCATATAGATGAAAATAGTTTTAAGTAGGCCCAAAAGAGCAAGACGGTTCCTTAAGAAAATTGTGGGCAAAAGTCCCGTTTTTGCATATTGATGCTTAACGCATATCATATGTATAGTTGTCACCTTAATAGGCCCAAAAATTTCTCTTCTAAGTAAGAGTTA